GTCAGCTATAGTTACATTGGATTCTGAACAGTCGGTTCTTATTACCATGTATTCTAATAGTTAATGTATAAAATATTGAAATGAAGACATCATGTCTTCTCTAATAACAATCTAGGTAGGAGTGAAAGGTTTTAGAAGCTTTTATGTCATGTCAGTTAACCCTGTGACAATAGTGGTTCCTCATTGTTTAAATTTTGTAATAAGCAACATAGGCCTTTTCACAGTGTTCATCTCATCTCAGAGTGCATCATATACAGTGTATTGTTCATTTTGCAAGTTGTATAATGCATATTTGTACAACTCTGCTCAAGCGAATTGGCTGACTTGTATATTGATTACTATCATATGTTCTACTAATATTTTAAGCAGTGAATTTTTAAAAGTGAGAATTTCTATTTTTTTATCTTTAATAATAAATGAGGTTTTAGTTCATTTTTTTTGCATATTAATGAGCAAAAATTGACCAAATATATTGAACAAGTTTTGGTACGTGCAAATTGTGTGGAAAATGAAAAAACTTGTCAGATTAGTTTTTTATTTCATTTACTTGCATATTAATTGGCCTATTTGCATATTTAGCATTTATATATAATACTCGACCACGTGATCTGTCGTTAATTTATTGTTGATTTATGTACACATACAGCATTGTAAATACTAGAGAAATTATTGTTTGATTCATAGCTAATGAGTATTTTAACATTTAATATGTAATATTTAACTACTTTCTTATAATCTGTCAACAATTTTTCGTATATTCTCATATCGCATGGCAAATGAAACACAGATCAAGATTCATTCATTCATTGCCTTGCATGTTGATTGACTGACTGTAAGCTGTATGTTTCATTATCAAGGTTTTGTCTTGGTACCTTCCAATAATACAATCTACCGGTACATGCAGTAAAAAACATAAATAATTTCTAATAGTGTTGATTAATAATTACATGTTTCTACCTGAGAAGAGTATTGTGGCTGTGTTGTGCAAATCAACTTGTTTTTCCATCAGCTGAGACATACTCATTCCCTATTTCCAATTTAAAATAAGTACTCTAGGCAGTTTGTAAGTGTACACGCTGATAATGAGAGTGAGTATAAGATGTGAATTCACACCTATGATCATTTTTCACCGACAAGATTGACAAAATTCCAATCAATTTTCAAGATGATCAGAGTCCTCAAGGACATACATTAAACCTGTGAATGTTTCATTTATTACTATACATATTCACCTAAAGCATACATAGTGTGTAGTTCCTACTTCACATTTCAGAGACTACATTCATGTGTTCACATCATATTAACAGCAGTCTTTGATATACTAGTATATATACACATGGTCATGGTGCAAATAACATGCTAGCATGTTAATTGTATTCACTCTAGTTATCCTTCAATTATCCCAACAAATCATCTTCTTTTGATGTGTTGTAATGCAAAATATCTCTTCTTATTAGCATGATACATGTCTTTTATTTATAATATTCATGGAAAATATTATCACATGCCTTTTTATAACTATGTGATTTTCTTTGCTTTGCACAACATGATAGTATTTGTCATTGTGGTAAACAGGTTATTAGCCATATGCCTTTGAAAACTGAACAGTTGATAATAATGTACGTTTTTATATGCCTAGTCTGTAAAACCGCTAACCCCTGAGTGGAGCGACACGACTACTCATTAATGATGGTTACAGTGGGTGTAAAGGAATAATATTATGTTTTCTCGATGAGCACTGCGCGATGTTTACGATAGTGCAGATGTTTGCATTTTCATTTTGAAAAACTGTCGCCATACGTCAGTCAGGCATGGGGCCGGAAACGTTCGGGCTGAGGTTTGGTGTAAAGTTACAACTTGGTTTTGAAAAAAACAAAACAGTGTTACTTGGCCATGCATACACTCTAGTTTCTACTTCTCCCTTCTGGCCATAGTCTTGAAGTATCTTGAGTGAACGTGATCTGGTCTTTGCAGGATGGTGTTTTTGAATGAGCTTGTTTACACTCTGTAGCCATCATTGGCGACTACTCTGAGTGGTTGTTTCATTCCACTCGGAGGTTATTGGTAGTATATCCCCCTGGCCAACCAATTCTCTAATCACGATATACGTTTCAGATATACGACTGGCTATTATTATTTCCACTCTATCCAATGCACTTGATCATTGAACTAAATAAATCTGTCTGTTTTTTGCAGGTGCTTATATTTGCTGCATCATTAGCTGGATACATGTACTTTTACAAGTAAGTGATAGTTTGAGAAATGAAAACTAATGTTGTTTGTGAAATTGGTGTTGTGGCCTCAACTGAGCGATTGTCTACCGTCGTCATCCATCAGCCTTTATATTTCAAATTTCTTTCTTAAAATTTATACCGTTCATGTTTACCAGGACATTATTTTGGATGTTCAGTTGGGAAAAAAAATACTATTTTTGACTTCTTCTCCAAAACCACCTGTTTGATTCATTTGTTATCATGTATTAAAATTAATCAGTTGTATTCATTGCATCATTCTCCTTTTTTTAATAATTATTTTTTTCAGTTCAGGTAAAAATTCTTGACTTTTTATTTAAAATATATAAGCAGGATCGTCTCTCAGATTTGCTGACTGTATTCCTGACATTTTCTGCTGAATCCTGTATTTTCCTTCAATCAGACATTCGTAATAACTGTGTATGTTCAATAAATGTTCTTACTCGTAGTTGATTCACTACTTTCAGGGAACATTTTCCTGTATTTGTTCAAAACTGCTAATTTTGCTTAGTTACTTGGTATGTAATATGCTGCCTAGGTGGATTACAAATTATTTTATTTTATGATAATATTCCTGTTAGTACTATTGTTCACTTCTAAACTACAGATCAGATTACATTCATGGTGTGAATTCAAAACAGCAAGCTACACAGCTGACGATGTCGTTGTGCATATTGTTTTTAACAACCGAGTGATTTGATTTAGTATGGCCGACTAGAGGCCATTTCCTTTTATTTGCTGTGTTCTTATCCCTCATTCAATGACCAGTTATTTTTAGAGTGGCTTGTTAAACTCTTCATCTTGATCACCTGATTATTGTCAAAGAGATCTTATATCCAATTACTTCAACATTGCAACTGATTTGGCTGAATTTTAGTCTCTGTTCAGGCGCAGCCTGAAAAGGGGAGTATAGTTTCTTATTTCCAGTTTCTGTCCGTCCTGTTTCCTTT